TTCTTCTTTAATTCACGCAAAAAAAACTATTTTTAATTATTACTATTATCATTATCAAATCAATATTACACATTTTAGACAATATTGTAAAAAAGATTATATTTAACTACCAATGATATACATATATTCCTTTATTGTTTTTGTCCAAGTGCGAGCTCTTAATGACACACATGTTTGTTTTTTCTCTGTCAATGCGGCCGTAAAATTAGCTTGTGAAAATGGAGGTTTCAACTTCATTTTCTCATCATGCAGCAGGCTTTGTTTGGCTGGATTTGAACAAAAGAGCTTAAATATATCCAATGTTTCTATTTATCATTGCAAGACTTGCCGCAAGTGTCAATCCTGCATGATGATTTGCCTGCTACAAGCATCTGGCATATGTCAATCTTCCTTTGGGAAGTTGAAGTGCCACTTCCGCAACGAGATTTAATATGAACAAAGAGGGTCTTTCAGACCCCACCCATGTGTGGTCTGAGCTGCTGCATGCTTTGCTCATTTAGCACCAGCTCGCGATGTCCAGATCTGCAAAAAGCACAAAGGCAAACTCTACTGGTGGGTATCAATCCATGCCTGTCGGAGAAACCTGCTCAACGGTAAGATCCTCCTTGCCAAATTGCAATCTCCAAAACATTCTAATCTGCCGCTGAATCCGAATGCTCTGGTAATGTATACACAACTCCCGCATTACCCCCCTGAATGCCTTAAATAGACATGTGTTTGACTACATAAATATATTATGTACATTTGTTTGTTTGTTTGGTGAGATTGCAAGTGATTATGACTCAATGACTGTATTCTTCACAGATCCTTGATGTCTGAACCACCTTGCCGAGCTTTCCGCGCCTCCCTTGGCGGCTTCAAGGAACAAGAAGCATCGTCAAAGAAACAATCTGAAGAGCAATCAACGATGATTCGGTTGAGAATCTTTAAGGATGTTCCAGGACATGAATGAAACAATTCTGTGGGCCCTCAGTACCCAGCACTTGATCGTCATAGCGCGGGGTCGGTGTACCTTATGACATCGTCACACGCCTCTTACGACAAATCTGATCACCTTGAAGGACTGCTGAGCACCTGGCTGCAGGTGAGCACGTGGGTGAGACATCAAATCTCGCTTTAGATTCCCCGACGAGAATCCAGATGCTCCCCGAGTTTGGAGCACGAATTAGGACAGGCACAAACGTGAGACACACGTTTCAAACGTGGTCCAGCGCCACACTTGTCCTGCAAAAAGCGTAGCACCACCCCTTGGGTGGAGTCACCAATCGGGTGGAGCGGCTACCTTCTGCAAGTGCACATGTGATGTGCTCTCCGTGCCTGTGACGCGTGGATCTGAACCTACACGTAGCGACGCATCCCAACAAATAGGGCAACCGCTGTCGTTCTTCACTAACACTCTTCGACAACATGAAATCAACACCTTTCCATCTCAAACATAGGCCATCACGGGCCGAGCACTTGCCTTCATTCAGCCCCGAGACCAACAAATGCCACCAACAGCGAACAAAAGAGAAGCTAAGCATATTCAAGCATCACTCGCACGAGAGACAAATACATTTGAGGCACTAATTCTTTGGGCACTCCTGGCGCAGAAGAAAACTGTCGTAAGTAATATAAACATTATGTGACATGTGGAGACACCTCGGAGACCCAAGGTGGGATGCCGAATCCCAGGGGCGACACATGAGAGTCTCCCTATCACTCCGTTTTCCCATGTCTACCTGCCGCTTTCGAGACCCCCAGTGCCGCCTCCAGCTCAAAGAGCTTCGGAACAAAACGCTTCTGTACAATGTAGAAAAGTGTAAAACAAAAAAATGCTCCCGAGGCAAGTGAGTTGGGCTGAGGAAAACTGGTTAGCTTTGGGAGATTAGTTTTGGCCTGTTCATGTGCCAGTCTTCAAGATTCTGATTCAAGTGTCTTGCTCTGGCCCACTCTACCTGACTTGCCGCCTGCTCAAACGCTCCAACTGCCAGGTCATGACCTACCTGATTCGATCGTTCAACGCATTCAGCTAAAACGTCCAATGAACATGCGTTGAGTCATTGTTTCATCTTAGAAACCAGCTTCCATCTGACTACGGGCGAAGTAGGCCCTGCCTAACAGCAGTACACGCCATACTCATCTTCTAGGTTTGTCTGAAGGGATGGGCGCAGTCGCCTCACCACTGAAGCGCCAAACTAGGAGGAGAAAGAATTGAAGCGGCGCAAATCCTGCGGTTGAGCTGGTGGAGTGAATGCATCTTCAATCACTAGAATTTAACAGCCTCGCGTGTGACACAAACACACTTAGATCCATGCTCGCAAGAGCTGTATCAGCTTGGAACTTCCCGTGAGGTACTTACTGAATACGTAGCGCTTGACTTGCAGAACCGTAAGAGTGAAGGGGTGTTTCAAGAGAAGCTTTGAACACACGCATTTGCACTTTACAAGGAAAGATTGAGGTGACAGCCTGTGAACATCACAGCCAGAAACTTAAATTAATGCAGGTACGTCAGTGAGCGTCCTTGCTGATATCAGCGCAACCTGCAGAGCCTCTTTGTTAGATGCCCTCTCTTCAGGTGTGGGGCACCCTCTCCAATCTGTACATCCCTTTGGAACAGGAAGTGACACACACACAAAAAACCGAATCGGCGCGCCCTCTCTCTGTCTCTCTGTCTTTTTCTCCGCGGGGAGGGTGTGTGTGTGTGTGTCACACCCTGGTTCTAAGGGTTTTCCACGTTCCCACCTTTCCACTGTAACGAGGCATGTTCCACTTTGTCCATCAATGCAGGGGCGTGTGACACTCTTCTCCTATCACGCGCAACGAAGCTGTGGAGAAGAGTGGGAAGGGAAACTTGGCCAGTTTCCTGTACCTGCGACCAACGTTTGCACACGCTGTCACTCCAATTTTTCTCGGTTTGGTTCATGGTCGTTTGCGTGATACTCCCCACAAACCTACTCGTCCCCAGCAGCTGCGCCGCCGGTTTGATTGCTACCGCTTTGTGACAACAATGTTCAACTTTTCAAGTGATCGGACCCATGCACCTTTCCGTTCCCTCACCTTCCTTCCAACGTGGCAATTGAGTCTAACTGAAAACCAAGTTCGAAGTGTGGACCGCTCAGTCTTCCCACTCGGGTACTGGGTGTGACCCTCCGAAAGGAGGCGCTGAAATCATACTGGAAATCACCGACCTTTCATTTTTATAACATCCCCCTTGGAATTAAGAGGGTGGGTTGGGTCAGTCAATTTTATAGTGACTAAAACGCTGCATATGACATCAGAATTGTGAGGTTGCCTTTTTACCTCTATAGAATTGCTGCTCATGAGGTTGAAATCTATGTGAACCTCTATAGAATTGCCATCCACAGGTCTTGAAAACAGATGGAAACTTGTAACAAGTCCAGCAACAAGTTCTATAGAATCAAATGCCTCAGGGTACTCACTTAAGCGTCTTTTTTTCAAGATGAGTATATTGGGCCTCTAAAGAATGGCAGGCTTTGGGTTGTAAACATCTATTGCTTTGAGTTTCAATACCCCACTAATATTCCACACTGCTTGCTACGCCAATTCTATAGTATTTCAATCTGATGATTGAACAAAGTCACCATCACTGATTTTATAGAAATGCCCCAACCCACCCGCTGAATAGGAAGGGGAAAAACCAATGTCACTCGCTCAATCTCGCTCAATAGAATTGCAGCCCATTACTCCTACAAAAGCCATGTGGGCATATTGGAATTGTTACCATAAATTAGCATCTATAATAATGAACTTGCACACGACAACTCGCGAAATTACATCTCTATGACAGCCCCAAGACTGAAGAAAAATGGAAAATGCTGGGAAGATACTGGAGAATGCAGGGAACAAACAGAACATACCAGAACCATCCAGAACCTGTCAGAAATGATTTATTGTGAAGCTCGAGCAATCTCGAACAATCTAAAACAATAGTTTAAAGAATATGTCGTATTCAATCTTATAGAGATTGCTCTAGTGATCTCTGGTGTATATTCCAAAAATATTCAAAACATACACCTTCACAAGGAAATGAAAACTCTATAGAATATTATAGAATTGGAGTGCCTGGGTCAAACTATGCTATACCTTTTTGGTTTTGTTGCAGTCTCCCCCCCAAAAAAGAATGTGGTTTCTATAAAATTGCATTCCACAGGAACCCTTGTCAGATGCCCCCCCAAAAATGCTCAATTAACATCTTTTGGGTCTATAGAATTGGAGTTAAGGACCCTTGTGAGAAGCCGCCCCCCGACAAATTCCCAATGAGATCCTTTTTGCTCTATAGAATTGCACTCAAGCACCCTTTTGAGAGGCCACCCAAAACATGCTTAGTGGATCTTAGTGGGAAACACTGAGGAAATCCCCCAGAAACACCGTGTCACATCAGGAGTCTCAGTCACAAGCACTTTAGACTATCCCCCCCATCCCACACCCAAGAAAAGTGTACTGTTCCATGTCTTTTCCGATTTTATAGAGGGTTTACATTGATCAACTGTGGTTTCCTTGCTCGAAAGGAAATTCAAGAGTATGTCGAGAAAAGCGATTTTATAGAGATTTCATTAGGGGTTCACAGAGATCCATCAACATCCATCAACACTCCTTCGGCATTCAAAAGAGCAACTGGCGTAGCAACTGGGGCTTGCTTCAAAAGAGCAGGTGTACATGGTGTGTTTTCTGAATTCTTTGCTTTCTTCGTTGGACAATGTGTACCAGGTGTGCTTGCTGGCTGCTTGCTTTGCTTCTTAGTAGCACCTGATGTGGCAGGTTTGGGCTGCTCTGACTGCTCAATCTTCACTCTGTGCTCCGTTTTGAAAAGGCTGGGCAGCTTTGTCTTCACTGGCCCAGGCTTTGGAGTTGCTGCTGGTTCAGGATGCCGTGTCTGCTGCGTCATGGGCACGGGCTTTGGAGTTGCTGGTTCATGCTGCTCTGTCGGCTCTGTCTTCACTGGCACGGGCTTTGGAATGGCTGGGGCTCCCACCTCCAAATAGTTTCTTAATGATTGGTGTATACAGAGGTGGACCAACACGGACAAACAACGAATTCTGTAACATTCTGTAACATAGTTTTTTTATGGATGACCATAATTATATATAGAATTGGGATCCCTGACTTGCCAATTTCAATGGTTACCTCACTATAGAATCAGACTTCATTAGATTGAAAAGATCTAATGTACACCTCATGTACCCTCTATAGAATCGAGGCTTGAAATTACCTAATTCTCTATAAAATCAAACTGTCTGACATACCAAATCTAACATAGCCCCAACATATTTGGCTAAAATTATTGATTTTCGTGTAGGTACCCTCATCGATTTTGTAGAGGTTATTCCCAGGGGTATTTTATAACTGCCTTTCCGTTTGTTCAACTTTATCCCTGAATTAACTGATTTTCGAGCCGCCGGGCTATAAGCGACGGATTTTCTACCCAAATTTCAGAAATCCATTCGTGTTGTGCATTGCTACATTCTTCAATTTTTAGTTTTTCAACCGCAGCCGTTTAGCCAACAATCAGCTTACGCATGCTCAGCACTGCAGATCTCAGGGGTTGCATTGCATGCCAAGACTTCACCTTACTCTACTTCACTGCACGTGCACTCAGGCTCCAGATTTCACTAGGATTTCCAATCTCTCACTTCCGCTGCTGCGCCGCGCCGGCGCCATTTTCTGCAGCCTTTCGGTTTGGCCTCTCCATTGTTCTCCACATGCAGTATCCCTGGCCGTATCCACAATGGCCATCACCTTGTACCGCACCCACAATACCTACTGTCAGCGCTCAGCCATCACCATGGCACCATCCTCCACCAACGGCACCTATCCCTACCGTTCTGTCTCATCAACAACCACAACCGATCTTGCCTCACTTTCAGGCCACTTCACCGCAACCGCCAGCTCTTACGTGGCCACATCACCTGCCAACCCATCCTCCACCGGCACCAACCTTCGTGACTCACACGCACGCCTACCCACCACCACCTCAGACGCAGGCACTTGAGCCCATGCCAGCACAACCTCTACACCATCCACCTTCTTTGCAACCCACATCACCAGCACCATCCGCTCCACACGCTCCGCAGGCACCACAACCACCGGCGCAGCCGACTCCCATTCACTGGGGACCAATCTCAAGGCGTTTGGCAACCTTACTCCCTTTTCCCACCAGTAGCGCACCCTTCACCCTCTCATCAAACATCAGCCTCAACCACCACGGCTCTCTCTGATCCAACGCCTTCCACGGTGGCACCTACGCCACCAGCTCCTGGCTATCCGAGCATCCCATCCTCGGCCAGTGCCCATCCGAGCGCCTCCCAACTGGCCACGACTGCAGCAGCCGCTACACCACCCTCCACATCACCAACCACCAACCTTGCTACGCCACCAGTAACAGCTCCACCACTACCGCCGCCACCACCACCCCCGCCGGAGCCACCTTCAGCGCCAACTACGGGGTCTCACAAGCGATGGATCCCACACACAACCTCCAGCAGCTACACCTACCCATTCGGGCAATGCCCATTCACCACCGGCCTCTCTTGCAACCGCCGGCCATACCCACCGCAGCAGAGACCGCAGCCGACGTCGTCGCCACCACCGCAGTCGCCGCACACGCGACCGGCGCACCAGACATCACCACTCCCCTGCAGCTTCCACCGCCAAAGCTTCGTCGACACGCCGCCGGCGTCGCCGTTCCCCCTCAACCTCATATTTCACAACCTCAGACAGCCGCTCCCGCAGCCGCTCCCATGCACCCATCACTCTCCGGCCCAATCAACAGTCCACACCTCACCACCAAATCACAAACATGTCCCAGGCGGAATTTCCCAACATTCCAGCAATGCGACGCCCCCATCCGCCTTGGAAAGCACCTCCACCACATTTCCACCAGCTTTCCCACCAAGAACAAATCGAATGGTGGCTCAACTTTCATGCTGCACAGTTGGCAGCAGAAAACAAACCACAACATGCATACGTCGCCAAACTCCTCGCTGACAGCGGCTACACCCACGATGATTTGGCAGATTTCCGACAACTCACCCATGTGAAGTGGAATGACGCTACCAATACCTATGACACCTTCTCCTACCGCTGCATCAACATTCCCAGTCTGGTCGACAAGGCCACTCGCCCACTACCGCCGCCTGCCACTCGTGCCACCTCTACTACCCCAGAAACAGTGCACATCAACGCTGGCCACACAGGCCCCCATGGCAAC